CCCAGGCTTCCCACTGTAGTTTGACAGTCTGTTCAATGTTGCTCTGCCTCTGCATCTACCCCTGTTCATCAGTCTATACTGGTCCCCATTATCTGTCCCAACCTCACTGGAGCAGTCCCAACCTCACCGGGGCCGTTTCAACCTCACCGGGGCCATCCCGACCTCACCGGGGTCGATATATATGAGTATCTTGAAGAGTCTTTTTTCACCTTCAAGTGTATGTACACTTAATTGTGAAGACCACTGATATAAGTGTTACAGATTAACTAATAGAGTGCAAATACATAGGAAGAGATTTCCTAGCTCAGAATCCTAGTAAACTGACCCCATATCTATTAATTACATAATTATTTTACTCTAGCCTCTACAGTTCTACCCACCTATCCCTCCTTTGTCCTTTTTCTTCCCACTTTCCTATCAAGAAGCATAGCTCACTCCCAGCTGGTATGCCTTAGTGGTTGAGCATCAACCCATGCATCAAGAGGTCTCTGGTTCAATTCCCTGTCAGGTCAGATGCCAGGTTTCAGGCTTGAACCCTGGTTGTGGGGTGTGCAGGAGACAGCAGATCAATATTTTTCTCTCACCGGTGTTTCTATCTCTCACTTCCTCTCTCTCTCAAATCAATAAAAACATTAAAAAAAAAGCACAGCTCTCTCCATCCACACCTCCTCTGTGCAGTAGAATCTTTCACAGAACACTAACTTGGTCCTTTCTTCAAACTGCCTCCTCCTCCAACTTTGGGATTGACCCCCTCCATAGACAGGGGTTCCAGACTTACCTCTGCCTCTGCTGTGAGACTGGGTCTCCCATGATCTGAGGTAGCTCTGGTTAGAGACGTTTCTCTCAGGAGCTCATGGCTGGGAGCTGGAGGTGGTCTGGGTTAGAGGAAGGATGTTCAGAGGTGCTGAAAGGAAAGGAACCTCATGAGACTGAGAAACATTCTCTGATAGAATTTGGACATGGGCTGGGACTGTATGTGTGGCTTATGTAAAGTGGAAACAAGTTCAAAGTTTCACAAAGCAATAATATGAGTGCTTTTTATTATTTCTAGAATATGAAACTGATAACCAGATATGTATCTTGGTAAAGGTCATGAGCACAAGGAGCATATAACTAAGAAGATTGTTTGCCTATAAATTAATGGTTAACACCAGCAACAGAATCTGAAAGCTTTCTGGCACTCACACTAGTACTAGCTTCTTGAACATGCTCCACATCTACTTTCAGACCTTTTCCTTCTTCTCAAACCTCCTACCTCATTGCTAGTCTTCTCAGCTGCCTCATTTTATGGACCAAAAGAAGCCATTGGATAGAAACTTTTTTTATCTCTTCAACATCAAATCTACATATCAACACCCACTTCCCCAAACAAAGCCCAATTTCATCTCTCTGTAATTTCTCTTGTTGCAATGGAGAAAGTAGCTTTCTATCTCCATGTTCTAAGCCTCCCTATCATTTTGTGAACAAATAATTTGTGTATTAAACCCTGTTTTGCTTGAGGTCTTTGGAGATGTTTCTATTTCCTACATGTATGCTGACTGATACACTAAAGCCCCAGTTTTTTCATCTGATAAGTGGGTTTAATAATAATACCTACAACATCTGGGAAAGATGGGATCCACACTTTAAAGACCACACATATCATAGCTACATACAAAATGCATTTATTAAAGAAAATGTAGAAAGCATTGTCACTTGGTAATCTGTGCTCAGAACAAAGTGTCCCCTCAAGTATCCATTCTCATAATTAACACTACTCAGGCCCAGGGAAGCATACCTCCATAGTTTCGCCCTATGTCCTTACAGCAAAACTATCTGAATGCAGTAAAAGTTTGTGTTTTTTAATGAGGTGAGGTTTTTGTATGTGTGTTTTGTGGGACAATTTTAAATGCAGTTTGATTTAAGGCATTGTGTTTTGCCCTTACACTACAGTGCCTAGAAAGTGCAATGTCATTTCCTGTCCCTGTGCACATGTTCCATATGCAAGTATAGAGCTTGCCAGTTATTTACTATGGCAGTTCAGCCTTAAAACTGCCATGGAATTTGCTACAAATTTGGGTCTTTCAATGTTTTGTATGGAATGAAAACTAAATGCAAGTTCAGGTTGCCTTCATCAAGCTCTTCATTGGTGGGCCCAGAAGAGCAACCACCAGATGGAGATGCCTCATCACTAGGGAAGCCCCAGGCATTCCTCCTGGCTTACCTCCTGCTCTCTGGGACAGCTTGGGAATCATAGGGCTGCAGACTTTCTCCAGCTCTTTCTGCTGATGTTCAAATTATTCTTTCTCTGCAGTCTGATTCTTATCAAGCAGGTGATGATTTCATTACATTTGTCAAGAATCTTCTGTTTGTCCTCATCATTGAGTTTATCTTGAAGTTTTTAGTCTTCAGCAGTTGCTTTTATGTTGATTGCAAAGAATTCAGGTGAATTTTTGAAAGATAACTTGTCCCACTGCTTCTCAGCTTTATAATTCTCAGTTTCTTGGCCCATATGTGTCCCGTCTTCCTTGGTCAAATGGTTCTTGTGGTTAGTGATGGTAATCTTATTCTCTTTTCCTGTCCTCTTATCCACAGCAAAGACATTGAAGACACATTGACATCAATATGAAAAGTGACTTCAATCTGAGGAGAACCACAAAGTACAGGTGGTATGTTTGTGAGTTCAAAATTCCAAGTAGGTTCACATCATTGTAAACCTGAATGAGCATACCTGACTGGTGGTCAGAGTATGTAATTAAGGCCTGGCTCTACTTCAGGGTCAATTATTTATATTAGTTATTGTTTATAAAGGTTGTTAATTATTGATTAAATTTCTTATCTTTTTAGTTATTGACATTATAACAGATGTCAAGCATTTTACAGCTCTTTGCTCCCCTCCACTCAGCCACTGTCATATCCCAGGCCATCACTACATTATTGTCTATGTCCATACGTTGTACATATATACATATACTAGAGGCGCAGTGCACAAATATGTGCACAGGTAGGGTGCCTAGCAACTGCTGGCTGCCAGCGAGGGCCGGCAGGGCTTCCACTGCCACCCACTGCCAGCCACGCATTGCTGATGTCTGCCATGTTCCGCGCTGCCCCCTTGTGGTCAGCACACGTCTAACTCCCAGTCGATCAAACTCCGGCTCATGGGGACAATTTGCATATTATCCTTGTATTATATAGGAAACAGGTGATAGGTCCTAACTGAAAGTAACCAGAAATTCTCCTAACGTAGCTCTTTATGGTGAGAGAGGTCAGTTTTGCCTTGTTGCTAAGGTCCCAGTTGTTTCCTGGCTATATTTTGTGTGTCTGTGTTAGGCTATTCTGTGGGCTCCTTTCAGGAACTTGGTGATATTGGGCTGAAGATAATTGGATCACTGTTATCACTTTCATTGTCCCCCTTTTTATTCTGGTGGGACCAGGCATGACAATAGAAGTGGGTGATATTCCTTTCCCTTTAAAAAAGCTGAGCTTCTTATTGGGATATAAGTTGGGGAGTCATATATACACAGATAGGGGCTTTAGAAAAAAGTTCAAGTTGCCATGTGAGTGAGCCTGCATTAATTGGGCCTACAAGACCCAGATGTTCAGCCAAGCCATCCACTTCCCTGACCATTTCAAAACTTACCCTATTGATACAGAGGGTCTTCACAGAGGATTATTAAGATGCATTTATTCAAAAGAAACTTTTAGGAGCCCTGCATTGTGTAGTGAAGCTGGTTCTGATGTTAATAAGTTTATATATGTTTTTGTAGGTCTTCCCCCTGCTTAGGGCTTATCAAAGAGTTAGGCATAATAAAAAAATATATTAATTTCAGGTGTAAACATAGTGATTCAATATTTATATACCTTATGAAATGATCACCATAATATTTCTAGTAATCATCTGTCATTGTACACAGTTATGATATTCTTTTTAAAAAATATATATTTTATTGATTTTTTACAGAGAGGAAGGGAGAGGGATAGAGAGTTGGAAACATCGATGAAAGAGAAACATCGATCAGCTGCTTCCTGCACACCTCCCTACTGGGTATGTACCCACAACCAAGGTACATGCCCTTGACCGGAATCAAACCTGGGACCCTTGAGTCTGCAGGCCGACGCTCTATCCGCTGAGCCAGACCAGTTAGGGCAGTTATGATATTCTTGACTGTATTCCCTATGCTGTACATTACATCCCTGTGACTTATATTATACCTGGAAGTTTGTACTTCTTTTTTAATTTTAAATTACCAAAGTCCCTGAAAAAGAAGACTAGATTATTTTTGTATTAAACAGATTAACTCTAGTTCTCCTTATTCTGACTCATCCATATTGAAACTCACTGGCTTAGAAAGTTACAGTTTCTAACAATTCCTACTGACTGTTAAGAAAGGACTTAAGAACAATAAAATTTATGTGCATGGGAAAGATCAAAGAGTAGAAAATCTCAATCAGAGGTATCCAGAGAAAAAGAAAGTTTTTTGTGACTGAAATAATGTTTCATGTCCACTGTTCAGGCATAAGATGCTTCTCTTAGGAGCTGAGAAATCAAAATGAGAAGACTTTGGTATCCAAGTTGGATGCCTGAGTTCTTTGCCATTCCATATTTGACTAGTTTAATGCAAAGAGGACTGAAGAAGAAGAGAAAGAAATTTTCAATGTCTGGCCAATCTCCAGCCCCAAGGGTAAGACTGAGGACTGAGTACAAATATACTCAAGGCCTGATCTTGAATGACTGTGGGAAAACGTGGAAAGCGAATCACTTAGTATATGAGTTAGGCTTGTTGTGAATAGCCAGGTCGCTTCCATCTGAGAGCCCTTGTACTGGAGACCCTAGGTCAGAGGCTGACACAGCTAGCTTTACATGATTTAAAAGGTGGAAACCCATACGGATGGAAGAAACAGCCCTTAACACTATCCTAGATTATCAACATGATTCTACCTTTAAGGCAGCAGGACTGAGTAAATCCCTAATAATTTCAGGTTAAGCAGGATCTTGGGTCATAACTCATAGTAGAATCTATAAGTTCTACTGTAGAGTGACATCAGGGGAATGGCAGTGTAAGGGCATGTCTTTTCCTCAACCCCTGACATTTCAACAAGTTAACCATCTATAATTCAACAAAGAAGTCCCTGCTCAACATGGACACATGCCTGAGAGACCCGTACACTGAAACACCTAAAGGTGGGCATCCAGGATAAATGGGGAGAAGAGAAGGGAGGGAAGTGCAGACATGGCCTGCAAAAACAACCCTGAAGCTCAGATGGTTACTAGCAGCCTGGTGGGGGAAAGAAGAGAAAGCTGGTGGTGGTAGCAGGCACTTCCTTTGCCAGGAGTAACAGAGAGCTGCTGGGGGCAGCACAGCAGGGCAACATTTGAGCTGCCAGGGGCTAGAAAGGACAGTGTCTGAGTTCTGCAGCATTGCTGAAAGAGTCCAGTATCTGAATTGTGCGTGATGAGTGGCCAGCAGTGAACAGCGAGTGGCAAGCAAGCTGCAAGCAGCCAGAGCAAATAGGGTGTGAGTAGTGTGAGCAAGAGGTGAGAGTAAACAGTGACTGAGCCCGCAGATGCCCACCCAGAAGAGCATGGGGTGCTGCCTTGAAGTTCCTCACTGCTGGGCCTTGGTGGTAGTGTTTCAGACAAAGAAAGGAAATCTCAGAGCCCTGCTGCTGATTAGACTCCCCAAACTTGCCACCTGTTGCCCTCAGAATTGGCTCCAGGAGCATATTATCTGTTAACCATGAGCTGTTGCTGTAGAATTGCTGTTTCCCTCTGTGACTGAACCTGAGGAGGGATGCTGGGGCTGGACCTGTGGAGGTAAGTGATCACCAGGAAGGTGAGGGCAAAACAAACCCCACACCCAAGCAGCCTGGTATTACTGTTCTATAGAAGCCTGGAAGGTTCAAATCTGGGAGACCATAGAGGTAAAAATCTTGCAATTCAGCACCATCTACTGGAACATAGTAGAAAGACCTCCTCAGAGATAAATGGAAAAACAAAGGAGTGCAGGAAATACCATAGAGAATTACAGTAACAATGACGACCAAAAGAAAATTCACTTTCATGTGCTCCCCAGAAAGTACGCTGGAACATATGGTATTATGTGATATAAATGACAGATTTCAAGATTGCAGTTCTGAAAATACTCAATGAAATGTGAGAAAATATTGATAGACAATTCAGTGCACTTAGAAAACAAATCAATGAACAAAATGAGTATTTCTCCAAGGAAAATGAACCTTAAAAAAATGAATCTATCATAAATCCCGAAGCAAGCAATTAAAGATATTAAGAGTAAACTATTGAGCATAGAAAACAGAACCAACCAGCTAGAGGAAAGAACTAGTGATACTGAAGATAAGAATCAAGAAGTGACATAGAGAGAAGAAGCAGAGACCTGAGAATAAAGAAAAATGAAAGAGGTCTATGAGACCTCTTTGACTCCATCAGAAAAAGTAACACCAGAATCATAGGCATTGCAGAGGAGGAAAAGAGGGAGCATGAAATGGAGAGTCTATTAAAACAAATAGTGAACGTGAACTTCCCAAATCTATGGAGAGAACTAGATCCTCAAATCCAAGAAGCAAACAGAACATCTTGTTACTTCAATCAAAAGAAACCCTCTCCAAGGTACTCGGTAATGATGCTGTCAAAAAATAATGGCAAAGAAACAATTCTCAAAGCAGCTAGGGAAAAGAAGGATGTGACCTACAAAAAACAAAACAAAAAAAACAAAAAAAACCCAACAAAAACAAATAAACAAAAAAAACCCCAAAAACCCATCAGAATTCCACCCAACTTCTCAGCAGAAACTCTACAAGCCAGAATAGAGTGGAACCAAATATTCAAATGTCTAAAAGAGAGAAATGAGCAGCCAAAAATAATATATCCAGCAAAACTATCCTTTAAATATGAAGGAGAAATAAGGACTTTCCCAGACATAGAGAAGCTGAGGGATTTTATCAACAGGAAACTTCCATTGTAGGAATAGAGTTATTCTACCTGAAACAAAGAACATAAGGTCACAACACAATGAGTAAGATCACCAAAAAACTTATGGCATAAACAGGATAATTTGTGACAACAAAAACATACAAAGGGGAGGGGAAAAGTTCTGAAATGGCAAAGGAAGATGAAGATCAGATGCACTCAAATGAGAAAATACTATGGCATATATGCAACTTCATTTTTTATAAACCTAATGTCAACCACACACAAAAATTCCCAGAACAGGAAATATACTTTAAAAAAGAGGAAACAGAATAAAAATGTGTGGAATACCACCAAAAAGAAAAACAACAGACATAAGCATAAAGAAAAAAAAACTAATGGAGGCACAGAGCTACCAGAAAACAAAAGATAAAATGGTTATAGGAAATCCTCATACATCAATAATTACCCTAAATGTAAATGGTCTGAATTCACCAGTAAAGAAGCACAGAGTAGCAGAGTGGATCAAAAAACAAAAGCCAGGCATATGCTGCCTACAAGAGACACATCTAAGCCGCAAAGACAAAGATAGATTCAAAGTGAAAGGGTAGAAAATGATTCTCCAAGCAAACAACATCCACAAAAAGATAACAAGAGACAAAGATGGACACTTTATAATGATAAAAGTAACACTACATCAAGAAAACATAACACTTCGTAATATATATGCACCCAACCAGGGAGGGTGGATATATATTTAACAGCTACTCACAGAACTAAAGGGAGAAACAGATCAAAATAAAATCATAGTAGGAGACCTTAATACTCCATTAACAACTCTAGGTAGATCAACGAAACAGAAAATCAATAAATAAATATTGGCCTTAACTGAAATGCTACATCAAATGGACATAATTGACATTTAGAAAACATTTCATCCCAGAACATCAGATTATATAGTCTTCTTCAGCATACATGGAACATTCTCAAGGATAGAACATATGTTGGGTCACAGAACTAGCATATACAAATTCAAAAAGATTGAAATTATGCCAAGCATATTTTCTGACCAGGATGCCTTAAAATTATAAATCAACTGCAAAATGAAAGTAATGAAAACCACAAATACATGGAGATTAAATAACATACTGCTAAAAAATGACTTGGTCAAAGGAGAAATAAAAGATAAGATCAAAAGATATTAAAGACAAGTGAGAATGACATAGCATATCAAAACATCTGGTATGCAGTGAAAGCAGTAATAAGAGGGAAGTTTATATCATTACAGGCCTATCTCAGGAAACAAGAGAAATCCCAAGTAAACAACCTAACATCACATCTTAAAGTATAGAAAAAGAAGTACAGAAGCAACCCACATCAGCAGAAGAAAGGAAATAATAAAAATTAGAGCAGAATTAAATGAAATAGAGAACAAAAAGACTATACAAAAAAATTAGTAAATGAAGAGCTGGTTCTTTGGAAAGATTAATAAATTGACAAATCCCTGGCTAGACTCACTAAGGAAAAAAAGGGAAAAGACCCATATAAACAAAATCAGAAATGAGAGAGGAGAAATTACCAAAGACATCACAGATATACAAAGGATCATACTAGAATATTATGAAAGCCTTTATGCCACCAAATTCAATAACCTAGAAGAAATGGATAAGTTCCTAGTAATATATAACCTTCTTAGACTAAATTATGAAGAATTGGAAAATCTCAATAGACCAATCAGCAGTGAGGAAATTGAAATAATCATCAAAAACTTCCCAAAAAACAAAAGTCCAGGACCAGATAGCTTCACTGTTAATTCTACAAAACTTTCAAGGAAGAATTAAAACTTGGCTTTTCTAAATTCTTCCAAAAAATTGAAGAAGATACAATACTTTCTAACACATTCTATGGGGCCAATATAACCCTGATTCCAAAACTTGGCAAAGATAACACAAAAAAAGAAAACTACAGACCAATATCCCTGATGAATACAGATGCAAAAATCCTAAACAAAATACTAGCATATCGAATACAACAGTACATCCAGAAAATAATACATTACGATCAAGTGGGATTCTTTCCAGGGGCACAAAGGGTGGTTCAATATTTGCAAATCAATCAACATAATACACCACATCAACGAAAGAAAGGTTAAAATCATATGATCTTATCAATAGATGCAGAGAAAGCCTTTAAGATACAACATCCATTTATGATTAAAACACTCAATAAAATAGGAATACAAGGAAAGTACCTTAACATAATAAAGGCCAAATATGATAAACCCTCAGCTAAATCATACTCAATGGTGAAAAACTAAAAGCTTTTCCCCTAAGATCAGGAACAAGACAAAGATGTCTACTCTCCCCACTCTTGTTCAATGTAGTGCTGGAAGTTCTAGCCAGAGCAATAAGGTAAGAGGAGTAAATAAAAGGCATCCAAATAGGGAAGAAGGAAGTCAAATTGTCACTTTTTGTGGATGATATGATTCTATATATAGGAAACCTTAAAGGCTCCACCAAAAACTATTAGAAACAATAAACAAATATAGTCAAGTTGCAGGATACAAAATCAATGTGCAAAAATTCATTGCCTTTCTGTATACTAACAATAAAACTTTAGAAAAAAATGGAGAAAAAAAAACAATTATTTTTGCAATAGCAATCAAGAGAATACAATACCTAGGGATAAACTTAACAAAGAATGTGAAAGACCTATATACTGAAAATTACAAAGAGATTGAAAAAGACACAACAAAATAAAAAAAATATTCCGTGTTCATTGATTGGAAGAATCAACATCATTAAAATGGCCATACTACCCAAAGCAATATACAGATTTAATGCAATCCTATTGAAAATCCCAATGTCATATTTTAAAGAAATATAATGAGAAATCATCAGATTTGGATAGAATTTTAAAAGACCCCAAATAGCAAAAGCAATCCTGAGGAAAGAGAACAAAGCTGGAGGGGGCACACTACTTCAAATTATACTACTGAGCCACAATAATCAAAGGACCTAAATAGACACTTTTTGAAAGAGAACACACAGAAGGCCAAGAGACATGTGAAAACATGCTCAAAGTCACTAATCATCACCGTGGTCGGCAAACTGCGGCTCGCGAGCCACATGCGGCTCTTTGGCCCCTTGAGTGTGGCTCTTCCACAACATACCGACTTCTGCGCATGGGCCACGAAGTTTCAATCGCACTGTACGTGCGTGCCCACATGTGGTATTTTGTGGAAGAGCC